TAAGAAGTTGAAGACAGGTTCAGCCGTGCCATAATTACAAAAAACTTTATATTGTAATTTTTTTCGGATACTTACGAAAATAAAATATCGAATTTCACAAAACTTTGCAGCGCACGCAACACATAAAAAATCGCTATTCCCCGAAAAGCGGCGTAACGAACCGGTGAAAACGACAGAGCCGCCTAGAAGTCTTGATCCTTTGAGTCAGTCGGAATTCACAGCAACTAAGATAACACAATGATTGATACGTTTATTAGCGTTCAGTGTATTTTTGAGCTATAAAGGGCGGAGAGTGGAGTGTACACAATTTGATATCTGTCAACATGTTCGACGATGTAGCATTTATGACACAGATAATGCGCACAAACATATTACCAATTATCCAGAACAAGAAAATATTAAACGTTGTCGCAATACGCTGTTGACACAACCAAAACTATTAAAATATAAACATAAAAGTATACAAAAACAATGTAGAAGTACCTTTTTTCACGTTACAATGTATAAATCGATGTTTTACTGTAAAAAAAAATTAAATACATTTTTGTCGTTTCAGGAGAACATTTTGAGATTTTTTTTACTATTATTTCTCGTGAATTGTTAATTTTTTAATGTGATTTAGTGACTAAAATATTGAGTTTTTACTTTTTGAACTTTTACACTATAAATGGTAATGGAAAGTTAATACGATTACAAAATTAACTTTTTTTCGTTAAAAATGCATTTCACCTTTTCAGCCATCTCAACAAAATAATTTTTTAATCAATTTACTTAACATTCAATGAAAAACAAAAATAATAAAAACAATAACAGAAATAAAAACCCAACTCAGCACAGGGGGGTCACGGCACAGTGGTGACGTGGCATAGATGGATCAAGTATAATGATATCTGACAGTGATTAAAATCACTATAAAAAAAAAACGCTTCGATGCAAATCTTTAGATAGTGTTTAATTTTTAAAAATTGGTGCATTATTCTGAGAGGTGACGACTTGGGCCACGCAACGGATTGTGGAGTTGCCACCCTCATGGCTCCCTTGCAAAAGGAAATCGGGTCGCCAACCACTTAGGCGAGGGTCTTGATCATAAAAAGAACAACACCCGGACTATAAGTGGATTTAAGAAAAAAAAAAATAAATAAATAATAAGAAAACTAATAATATGCACTCTGATGAAACAAAGTGGATTAAAAAATTATATATATATATATATTTAAAGTTTCAAATTTTTGAATTAATATACAGGTATAATACACAAGGGATTACAAATATAGGTAGCTAATTGTTTTTTTATAACATCGATATTAGCAGGTATACAGCATTGTTATTATCATTTGTAGTAAGGCACATTGTTTTGAGTTTATAAATACACTAACTGACAATACAGAAAGTATATCTATTGATAATCATAATTGATAATAAACAATCCGTGACTGAGACAGCAATGTCATAAAAATCCAATTAGCTACCTGTATTTACAATCCCATGTGTATTATACATGTATATTAACTCAAAATTTTGAAACTTTAAATGTTTATATCTAATAAGCTAATAAAGTTATATTAAAAATTCAAATGCCATTTACTATTAAATTAAAAACTCAAACATTTTATTAAATTAAAAATATGTGTTACCATTTAAAAAAACAAAGTTGACCCCCCTCCAAGGCATAAGGGATGAACTTAAAAAGTATTACATAGTTAAAAATTCAAGAATAATGTGTAACTAAAGATAATGAAAAAAAAAATGTTTAAATTATTATTATTCTGCAAGTAATTGAGTGGGTTATGATAAAAAAATAACCCTGTATACATATAAGATATTAATGATTATATTCTAAACTTCAACTACTATAAAATCATTCATTTGATACCATGCATATCTAAAGTAAAGAGAGCATTATCGCGCATTTTCAGGAAGTCCGGTCCCTCTAAAACGATTGTAAGCCCCGTCATGAACGACGAAACCATACGGACTCCGTTCACCATCGTACAGATAACACGTGAACCACTAGGAACAGCTCGTACTGATTTGCGCGTCCGTACTTACTCATAGGTTGGACAACATGACTCAAAATAACGTGATCCTACAACATCGTCTGACTAAAATCAAGGAATGCGAAGCGCATACTCTTGGTGATTATCCAGTGCGACATACGCGCGTCGTCTACACTAACTCGAGCGAATATGCTTATGAGGAGGACTCAAAAGACTTTCTGGAGCAGCTAGGAAATCTCCTGGGCCAGTGCAGTTCATTTCGATTTGTCGGTAAAACCTGGGGTACAGTTTTTAAAGAACACGGCGTTTACTTTTGGGAGTCCATCATGTTGAACAACACGACCTGTCGCCAACTTGCAAGGGAGTTTATCGTGGTGTTTTTCAATAATGATAGCATCGAAGCGGAACTGAAGAACGAACTCGTAACAACACAACAGAGTGTCCATCAGCGAATGCCAAAGTTTAACTTAAAACACAACGGCTTGCGATGCGCGCTGGCTCCAGTTGTTCAGAGCAGCAAATAGTAAATCAGTATTGCGCAACGAATACTACAGCAACATAAAAATACGATGCTCCAGTACATTAGACGACCTACGCGTAATCGTGAACAGGCCTTTACGCACGAGTACATTGAAAAGTCAATTTTAATCCATATGCGTCCCTCCTGGATCTTTTCAACCGCCTCAGGCCGTGCCTAAAAGATTCACAACTTTTTGTTATTTTTTAACCAATGAATTCTTAATTTTGAAAGAAATATTTGTCAACATTTATGTGAAAAAAATTTTTCAATTTCGTGTACTTCCGTTTGGGCTTAAAAATGCACCCATGACTATCNTTGGGCTTAAAAATGCGCCCATGACTATCGTTCGACTTATGAGCAAAGTAGTAGTAATTTAGACCACCTCAGTAAATTTTTGTAATGCCTAGAACGACATGGTCTCGCATGTCACACAAAAATGTGTAAAATCGGGTTTTCAAAAAGTTCTTTTTCGGAACACCTTGTACATGGGGAGGACATTGATAAAGAACCTGATAAACTTGAGTCCATAGGCGCCATACATGTCCCACATAATGTCAGGGACTTGTAAATGTGAAAATGTGGAACTTCAAAAATAATATTAAATAATAATATATAAATACTAGGCTCCGCCTAGCTGGGGCTCCGCCCCAGACCCGGGGCTCTTCGAGCCTTACACGCCTTCGGCGCGTAAGCCTCTTCGGGCCATCATCATAAGTAGGCCACTGATTCCGGTAGAAGTACCCGGCTACGCCGGGCACGATAAGTGTTTTCCAGAAAAAATATTACTTCAGAATCAGTGAAAACTATAGAAAACTATAACTAAAAATGTTATTATTATAATCAGGAAAATTCAAAAAGAGTATATAGTAAAATGTATTGGGTATAAGGTTGAAGCCNAATGTTATTATTAAAATCAGGAAAATTCAAAAAGAGTATATAGTAAAATGTATTGGGTATAAGGTTGAAGCCTCTTAATGAGGTATTCCCTTTAGGCTTATTCAAAAATTATTTTAGGAGGAAATTTAATATTTTTTACAATGTTAAACATGTNACTTTCCGGAACACTTTCAAAATTTAAGTTGAAAAAGTCAATTTTTTGTGAAAAAGTTGTCATTTTGAATCCCCCCCTGTAGGCAGGTAAAAAGTCAGATTTATAAAAAAAATATACCAAATGATAGGTAAAAACATCATGAATCTACAAAAAAAAGAATTATATTGATCCATACATCTTTCAAAAAGTTATAGCATTATAAAGTTAAAAATATAAAAAAGAATTTTTTTACAAAAATCGTATTTTTTTTATTAAGTTTAATGTCTGTTTTCACCATGAAGATAAAATAAAGTCCGAAATTTTTTTTTACCATTATAAAGTATATTACATTAGCTTTAATTTAAGATATATATAAAAGTGTCAGACCTTCCGGAACACTTCCAAAAGTTAAGTCGAAAAAGTTCTATTTTCTATATGCATTTTTATGTTTTGAATCCCCCCTATATTAAGGGAAATGGTCCTATTTAAAAAAATAGTATGTCGAATGAAAGATCTATATAAATACTACTTCTCATAAAAAAATTGTAATGATTCATTCATTTTTCAAAAAGTTATAGCATAATAAAGTTAAAAATGGAAAATACAAAATCGAAAATTTTCACACAAAAATAGCATTTGGTAGCCATTTTCACCATGAAGATAAGATAAAGTCCGAAATTTTTTTTTTTCATGATAAAGCATATTACATTAACTTTAATTTAAGATATATATAAAAGTGTCAGACCTTCCGGAACATTTTCAAAATTTAAGTTGAAAAAGTAAATTTTTTGTGAAAAAGTTGTTATTTTAAATCCCCCCTTGTGGGCAGGTTAAGGGTTAAATTTATGAAAAAAATATACCAAATGAAAGGTAATGATATTATGCATCTATATAAAAAAGAATTATATTGATATGTTCATTTTTGAAAAAGTTATGGCACTTTTAAGTAAAAAAAATTGAAAAACGATTTTTAAATTTGTAATTTTTTTGGAGGTTTCCCCCATTTACGGGGAACGAGGGAATTTTTTTCAATTTTTAAGGGTAATGTCTTCGACTAGATACGATTTGTGGTCTTTTGACGTATCATTGAAAGAAATCGGTTCGGTGAGAGCTGAAAAAAAGTGTTAGCAGACACAAAAAAAAAAAAATTGTTTATTATCTTAGTAAAACCAATACCTTCTCAGCTTCGCATCGAAGCTAAAATGGAGACATGGAGCTTACAAAAATTATATTTAAAATTCCTGAGTACGCCACTGACTTTATATAACTTATAATATACTCCTATTCCTTAGGACCTCGCCTTAAAAATGTTAGTTATGACACTGACCAGCGTAGTTCCGTTTAGGAATAGCACACTTATAAAACTCTAGTAGAAAATACATTGCAGTATTTTTAGACATCTGCGAAATTATTGAAAGAAATAATCAACATTAATATAAAAATATAACAATAATTTTTCTATACATCTGTGTAATTTATTATTTTAATTAAGGACAGTTACATATATTTTTAGAAACAATTAAATTTTGTGTAATAAGTTACAAATTTACAATAAAATATTTCACTTATAATTTAAGCTTCAAATTAAAATTTTATTATGATTTGATTTTTTTTTTTTGTCTGTCGTAACGTTTTTTTAACGATACGTCAAAATATCATATTATATGACATTTAGATCCTTCATTTGTTTCATGTACGGAGAAGGTTTAAATGCATACTCGGTAGTGATTATCTTATCAATATAATTCATTGCATACATACATTCAATATCTTCTTTAATATTCGGAGGAAAATATTTATTCGTTTCTTCATTGTATAAATTATTAAAAATCTTCCAAGAATTAATTGATTCATTAAGTTGGTTATTAAAATCATCTGTTTCAGTTTCTATTGATAATTTTTTATTGAAATTTTTCATGTGTTCAAATAATGAACGACGAAGAAATTCTTGAAATGAAAAAAATAATTCTTCACTTAAATCTGAATTTAAAATTTTCTCAGAAAAATGTTCTAAATCAGAAATATCTATTTGATAATTTTTCATGAATTTAATAATATAATCTATTGTAACGTTATAATATTTTAATGAATCTGAAATAATCGTACTTTTAACACTGCTTACATTGTTGTAAGATTCAACTGTGCATTCTGAATAATGTAACAATAAATACAGTAATTTGTACAACCTGATTTTCATAGCCAAGTGGTATTGCTCATCGGTAATATTACCACCGTTTATTTCACCTAAGATAACATTATTGGGAACACTAAATATTACTTCTGACTTCATAAGTTCTCCATTAGGAATTTTATCCCATTCAATAGCATTGGAAAAATGACAATAAACTGTAAGAATTATGATTGAACACAATGTTGATTTCATCATGATTAAATTTCTTGACGTCACTTGTAGTATATTCAACAGTCGTTAGATAAAATATCTCAAATGATAATCTAAATAATATCAAACAATTTTGATAGCTATATATACTATTAAATATATAATAATATGGTAAATTTATAATAAAAAATATATAATGTAGTAATGTTTGCGAATTTTTTGTGTAAATAATTTTAAATATACTAACCAATTAATGATAAATTTACGAAAATAATTAAATTGAACAAATTTGTTTGTTTTCTATCTTGTTTACACTTTTTTTACAAGAACAATATAATATTGTTGTACAGCTCAAAGTTTTACCTTGACTGTGTTTAACTAAATTCAATTTTTTTGTAACAACTAAAGAAAGATATAATGAAAAAATGTTTTGAATTTTTAAGTCTCTTCGAATTAAAGGAGTTAATACTAACTCCTCTCAGGTTCCCTGGTCTTTTTAAAACTCTTCTTGTACTCAGGTTTTTCAATATATTTTGTTAAAAATATAAACAATAAAATATAAAACAAATTTGTTTGTTTTATATCTAACTTATACCATTTGTACAAGAACAATATAATATTATTGTATAGAGTGATTGATTAACTATGCCACCCTAATTATCACTGAAAATATAAGAGTTATAAACATTTTTTTTTTTTTTGTGTCTGTTACTACTTTTTCTCAGCTCTCACCGAACCAATTTCTTTCAATGATACGTCAAAAGATCACAAATTGTATTTAGTCGAAGACATTACACTCAAAAATTAAAAAAAATGCCCTCGTTCTCCGTAAAAGGGGGAACCTCCAAAAAAATTACAAATTTAAAAATCGCTAATTTTCGAAATTTTTTCAATTCTTTTTACTTAAAAGTGCCATAACTTTTTCAAAAATGAACATATCAATATAATTCTTTTTAATAAAGATGTGTAATATCATTACCTTTCGTTAGGTATATTTTTTTCATAAATTTAACCCTTAACCTGCCCACAAGGGGGGATTTAAAATGACAACTTTTGCAACTTAACTTTTGAAAATGTTCCGGTAGGTCATTTTATTTTTATAAATTAAAGCTAATGTAATATTTTTTATTATGCAAAAAAAAAATTTCGGACTTTATTTTATCTTCATGGTGAAAACAGACATCAAAGTTTATAAAAAAAATACGATTTTTGTAAAAAAATTCATTTTTATATTTTTAACTTTATAATGCTATAACTTTTTGAAAGATGTATGGATCATTATAATTTTTTTTTTATAGATGCATGATGTCTTTACCTATCAATTGGTATATATATTTTTTATATCTGACCCTTTAACTGCCCACAGGGTGGGATTTAAAATGACCACTTTTTTACAAAAAATTTACTTTTTCAACTTAAATTTTGAAAGTGTTCCGGAAAGTCTGACACTTTTTTATATATCTTAAATTAAAGCTAATGTAATTTACTTAATTATGCAAAAAAAAAAATTTCGGACTTTATTTTATCTTCATGGTGAAAACAGACATCAAAGTTTATAAAAAAAATACGATTTTTGTAAAAAAATTCATTTTTATATTTTTAACTTTATAATGCTATAACTTTTTGAAAGATGTATGGATCAATATAATTTTTTTTTTATAGATGCATGATGTCTTTACCTATCATTTGGTATATATTTTTTTTATATCTGACCCTTTACCTGCCCACAGGGGGGGATTTAAAATGACAACTTTTTCACAAAAAATTTACTTTTTCAACTTAAATTTTGAAACTGTTCCGGAAAGTCTGACACTTTTATATATATCTTAAATTAAAGCTAATGTAATATACTTTATTATGCAAAAAAAAAATTTCGGACTTTATTTTATCTTCACGGTGAAAATGGCTACCGAATGCTATTATTGTGTGAAAATTCTCGATTTTATTTTTTACATTTTTAACTTTATAATGCTATGACATATTGAAAAGTGTATGGATCAACATTATTTTTTTATGAGAAATAATATTTTTTAATAATCCCTTTTTCATTCTACATACTTTATCTTAATTAGGATATTAATAATGAATTAGCAGATCATGTAGCTTTTGGAATAGTCCACCAATTTTTTAAAATAAAACAGTATCTAAAGATTTGCATCGAAGCGTTTTTTTTTTGATAGTGATTTTAATCACTGTCAGATATCATTATACTTGATCTATCTATACCACGTCACCACTGTGCCGCGACCCCCCTGTGCTGGGTTTTTTTATTGCGAATTTCGTCTCATAAGTAAATAACGAAAGTAAGAGTGGCTATAGGTATTGGGCAGCAACAATAATAGAATGAAATAGATAGGGATCTCGGGGTATGTATGTCTACAGAAGCACGTTTGATAGATATGAGTAAAGGTGAAATATCAACGAAAGGTTACTATTTAGCTCCCGCATAAAAATGTATACACGAATTTGTAGGAATCGTGATTATTATATAGTAGGTATTTTAATTGTATGATTAATAGATAATTTAACTTTATACACAGCCAAAGTATAAATCAAACATTTTTATTTTAATCTTTTTAAAGTTTTTTATAAAATAAACTATTATTAACATTTTAAATTGTTTTATTCATATTTTTAATTTGAGTATGTCAGATAGAGAAATGTGCTAGAATAATTATTTTAATAAAAAAAGTATCATTAATAGGAATAGAGCAAACAGTGACGGAATATTTTTAAATACAATATTTAGCAGTGATGTGCGTCTCAGGGAAATACAGTATCGTGTCTTGTTGTATTTTTGAAGAAAAATATTAAAAACATACATATGCTTACTTTATGATCTATCTTTTAATACCACCACATCTTCATTTGAACAAAAATACTTAAAAAATATATTTATTAACATGTACATATAAATATATACATATTATTATGATTATTTATTTATAATGCTTATGAGAATATCTATGTTCAGGGCTGAATTTAGGAATTTTGCCGTTCGAGATACTCAATAACATTTTTATGTTGCTCATCAAAAACCATGTTCTTTGTTTTTTTAAACTCTATAGTTTATATTGATTCATATTATAATCACTCCTAGAGTACTTGCATCCTTTACCCGCCTCCCTAAATGCGTCACTCTGTACACCTATATACTATTTTTCCTAGTAATATGTGTGTATATTAATTTATATTTTATAAATAAAACATTCTTTACCAAATACGTGAAAATCATTAATATAAAACATAAAATCTAATGACGTAAAATTATCAACTTTTAGTTAAGAATATCCAAATTATTACATTAAGATTAATAACATATAATATTCGTTACATATGATAAATTTAATATATTTTTTATATAATACCTTTTTTCTACCTAATGAAAATTATTTTATTTTTTTTTGTATATATCTCTATACCATTAAAAAATTGTGATTATATTTTGCTGAGTAGTTTTCAGTTTAGTAATTAAATTTGGTAAAAAAACAGTACAAACCTATGTACTTTATGTAGTAAAATGCTAATGTAAAATCAGATTTTGAAAATTTCAACTGTTTAATAAATTAAAGTAAATAAAAAATAGTTGTATTTAAACATAAACTTCTTATATAAATATATCGTACAATTTTTTTTAGAAATACTTAAACTTTTTCTTTTGTGAATAGTGTTTAAATTTTTATATCAATTAAATTCCACACACAGTCACCAATTTTTTTCATTCCATATTCCATTTAGGCGGTATCCTGGTGGATATTATGTTGAAATTTGACTATTACATTAATGTCTTTTTTTACTATATTTAACTAAACGGTAGACAAAAACCTACTGTAAAATATTAATACAAAATAGCAACACTATTTTGTGATAATAGTATTCATTTACAACATAAATAAATGTCAGAATGTGACATCTTGGGTTATAATATTAATTGAAAGAATAATGTATGATGAATTGTCTATATTGTTATCAGAAGTTAGCTTTCCCAAACATTTTACTTTACTAGATCATTCTAACCCATCTAAAAATTTTAGTTATTGTCCAACTGTATAAGTTTTTTATATTTAAGTAACAATTTGATTTTTAGTAAATCTAGCACACTCGGAAAGACCGTAGTTTTAAATTTCTATTATCATTATTATCTGAGATATAAACAAATAAGTGAAAAACGATTGAAACGTTTAACAATATAGTTGATATTTTTTAAGCTGTAATCAGTTTTATGTTTTTGCTTTTTTTTATCGATCAGAAAATTAATTTTCTTTATCAAATTTTAATTCCTCGAGACAAATAAAAGTATGTTTTATCACAAGTCAGATCAATTTAAAATGTTAGAGCATAATTTTAAAAGTANTAATTTTCTTTATCAAATTTTAATTCCTCGAGACAAATAAAAGTATGTTTTATCACAAGTCAGATCAATTTAAAATGTTAGAGTGTAATTTTAAAAGTGATGAGTGGTATTTTCCAAAANTAATTTTAAAAGTAATGAGTGGTATTTTCCAAAATTTCAGGTAATACTACCACGCAAAAGACAAAACATATAATTAAATATTTGACTAAGATATTGTTGGACAGTTAACACATTTTTTATTGATTTTATATTTTTACTCGACATAAATACAAATGAGTATAGTTTTAAAAATATTAAATTTAAAGTAGATGTTTAAAGTATATGCGCGTCATTCTCGAAGTTTTCTCTATTATTTTATAACTATGGATGAAAATTAAAGCTCTCGTTATCAGCTCTCACCGAACCGATTTCTTTCAATGATACGTCAAAAGATCACAAATCGTATTTAGTCAAAGACATTACCCTCAAAAATTGAAAAAAATTCCCTCGTT